ACCCCAAGAAGTAAGCATTTATAACTGGTGTCTCTCTTAGATCTTGCCTGATTACCTTGCAATCAATGTTGTTTTTATCTAATTTTTTTGTGAGAGGCCATAGTACAAGGCTGCTTGATACAAGCTGATACAGGAAGACTTGGCAACAATAAAATTGTCAGCGCACACATGTATATTGTAACCAGTCCATAAGTCCCAATAAAGTGTATAGTGGGTAACCGCTATTTAGCTGGCAGCCATCCCAGAGTAAGCCAGCTCTGTATGCATAACAAGGGAATGAGAGGAGAGGCTCCTTCTAGCTGCAGTATAAAAATATTTTAATGAGCCGCAAATTGGTAAAACTCAATGTGGAAGTGCTTCTTGTACTGCCCGGGCTACCCCTGGACTGCTCATGGTATGTCCTGGGGGCCAGACCATTGACTTGTTGCTCTCCTCCTACCCCATCTGCTTCTGTCTCCTCCTTTTTTCATCACCATCTCACTCCCGTGTGACTCCCCTTCCGCTCTTACCTTTCCCTCTCTTTCCCCCCCATCGGGACCGTTACCCCCCCCCCCCCCCCCTGTGCTCAATTGTGGACTCACCACCTATTTGCAGATCACATTCCACCATGGCACCCCTGAACGTATAGGGCTTCAACATCCCCCAAAATGTGCAACAAGGTCTTCGCTCATTTGCGTTACAAAAGGCGCATGTTGTCTGCCTACAAGAAACACACTTCAAACCCACTTCCACACCTACATTCTTTGGCCCCCACTATCCACAAGTCTTCACTGCTTCTGCGAAATCCAAACGTATCCTTATCGCCTTCCAAGGAGTCCCTTTAACGCTACATACTGAGATTGGAGACCCAGAGGGACGTTACCTCATCCTGTCGGGACTTTTCCTTGATTCTGAAGTCATTATAGTTTCTTACTATGCTCCCAACCAGGGTCCTCTTCCGTTCCTCTCCCACCTACTGGCTCTCATCGATTATCATAAGCGTGGCACCTTGCTTATCTGTGGAGACTAACTGCACCCTATACCCCTTCCTTGATAATTCCCCCCAACCACCCCTCTCATCTGCTCCAAAATGTCTTCCAACTCCTGAACTGCCACTCCTTAATGGACTCTTGGAGAGAGCGTCATCCAGTGAAACGCAGATACTTACTATTCCCATCCACACAAAACGTTCTCATGCATTGACCATAACCTCACGATCGTCAGTTGCTCGTCTTGTCTTCTTGCCTCAGATACCCTCCCCATTCCATGGTCGGATCACAGCACTGTTTTCATATCTGTCTGCTCCTTGACCCCCTCTTCTACCGACGCCTCCAGGGTAAGCAACGATAATTTACCTTACCCTGCACATAGCCTAGATGTAGAGATTGCCTTTAAAAAGTATCTGACGACAAACTCCACCCCAGATATCTCTCCTCTCCTATTATGGGAAACACACAAACCAGTCCTTAGAGGGGTCTGTATTAGCAAATCATCCTCCCTCAACAGAGAAAAGCATCGGACAGGCGCTTCAGTCTATTCCATCTCCTCGTAACCGCAAAGCTCTAGAACAGTCCCACTTGGAACTTGACCTCTTTTTAACGGACCAAGCAGAACTATCCCTCTGCAGATCTCAACACAAATATTACACCAAAGCAAACAAACCAGATACATTCCTGGCCATTTCACTCTGAAGACTAGACCGAGTCGCTAAACCAATCCGCCTGAAAATATATCAAGGTAGTTATATCAGCAACCCTACACAAATCTTTCAGATCCTCCGTAAACGCTTAGCTTTGTTATATTCTCAGGCAGAGCCCTTCGACCAGTCCCAAGCAGAAAATCTTCTCGCTCACCTTTCTTTCCCAACTTTGTCCGCTAATCATCTGGAAGTCCTCGAGATGCCGATCACACCAACTGAAACCCTGAACGCAATTAAAGACCTGAAGCTACGTAAGCGCCCTGGCCCGGACGGCTTCTCTGCCTCCTATTACTAGAAATTTGCCCACCTTTATTTCTCCTGTGCTAACCAATGCCTTTAACGTCATCCTAGCCGGCCAGTCCTTTAAACCTGAAACTGTATCAGCTACTATAACCATGCTCCCGAAACCTAATTCAGATGACTCTGCCTGGTCCAACTATAGACCTATCTCACTCCTCAATATCGACATTAAGCTTCTCGCGAAAATCCTCTCTACTCACCTGAACCCGATAATATGCTCTCTAATCCATAAAGATCAGGTGGGTTTTATTCCCTTGCGGCAAGCCGGTGACCATGTGCGACGCACGGTCCTCCTTTTCGCACATTGCTTGTACCCGCAAAATCCTCACTTGCTACCTGTCCCTGGACAATTAAGAGCCTTTGACACGGTCTCATGGTCCTACCTCAATTTTATCCTGCAACATTGGGGTTTTGGAACCCACTTCTTAACCTGGATCTCTTCTCTATACTGCAGCCCCTCAGCTAGTGTCTGCTACCTGGGCCACAAATCGCCCTCTTTCCCAATATCACGAGGTACCTGCCAAGGATGTCAGCTTTCACCATTGCTTTTTGCCCTAGCTATTGAACCTCTAGCCCTTTTGATCAGAGCAGATCCTGATATACGTGGACTAGATAGGTGGGTCTCGCCACAAACTTTGTCTTTTTGCGGATAAAGTACTCTTCTTTTTGACCTCTCCGCTGACGTCCGCCCCCTCCTTACTTCGGCTTCTACAAGACTTTGGTCGCATCTCCGGCCTACACATTAACCCCCAAAAGTCAACGGTACTGAATATCTCCCTTTCCCCTCAGGAGACTTCAAATTTAAAACAGGTTCTCCAATTCTTTTGGTCCCACCTGTCTATTCCCTATGTAGGCATTAAACTGACGGCACACCTATGGGATTTATATCCCGCCAACTATTTGCCAACGCTTACTTGTCTTACTAGCCTTATGCACAACTGGTCTTCATTGCCGCTGGCATGGATGGGGAGAATCACAGTGGTTAAAATGTCCATCTTGCCTAAGATACTATACTTGTTTAGAGTCCTCCCCATCCCTGTTCCGGCTCATTTTCTTTGCATTCTACAACGGCGAACCTACACATATATATGGGGTTCTATTCGCCCCGTGTACCTTGTTCCACCATCTACAAGACCAAATTAATGGGTGGTCTAGGCCTCCCAGACTTTGCTAAATACTACCAAGCTGCACATCTTGCACAACTCCCGAAATACCATGCGACACACGAGATCCCTCAATGGGTTGTTCTCGAATCAGTTGACTGCGATCCTCTCTCAGTAGCCAATATACTATGGCCTCGCCCTCCGACCAGAATCCAGTTACATCCCATTATATATCCCTTTGGGATAGGATCAAATCCTGTTATCCCATCTAATCATCGCACAATCCTCTTTTCTCTCACACCTTCGGAATCCGGCCTTCCCTCCAACTTGGTCTTCTCCACGTTCTTTCACACATTGGTCCTCAGCAAACCTAATCTGAGCCCACCACTTTCTGACTAGCACTGATATCAAGTCCTTCCCCCTCCCTGCCTGATTCACATTCTGTACCAGCGTCGGAAATCTTTAGATACCTCCAACTGAAGCACTTCTATGCTCCTTTATCTGCAAAATGATGCTTTGACCACTAAATGACCTTTTTCGAATGCTCAAGTAATAATGACTCACATATGCAGGGCCTTATCTCTGCTCTGAATGCTCTCTTGCTAACTCCTGAGTCTTCCCCTGGCCCTTCTTATGTCGCTAAGTGGGAGAAGGATCTTGGATCCCAGTTAAGCCCACAATTGGGATCGCATTTGGTCGGCAACCAAATCCTCCTCACAGAACTTGGTGGCAGTTGAGGCTAACTACAAGGTCCTGGCCCGATGGTACCTAGTCCCGACAAGGATTGCTAAGTATACCCCGGCTTACTCTCCAGGCTGTTTTCGGGGCTGTGCTATGGCGGAAACATGTCTCCATATTTGGTGGGCCTGCCCAGCCGCTCAAGTTTTTTTGGGTTGAAATCTTCCACATGCTGTCCACTCTTTTTGCACTGACACTGTACTAATGGCACTTGGCAGAAATGGGTTAAACGTGAGGGGCAATCAAAGGGTTAACTGTGTGCTGGGAGTGTTTTGCTAGGGGGCGGGGGGGGTGTGCTTCACTGTAAGCACACTGCTCTGGATGGCTCTGCTCAGCCATCCAGAGCAGTGTGCCTAAACTGACAGGGAGGGCGGCTGTTGGTAAGTAGTGCAGCCTTCCTCCCTGTCGGTAATCACTGGGTGCCGGCGGGTAATCAGTGGCCGTGACCCGGTGATTGACTCCCGGGGCAGCATGTGTGGCTCGCGAGCGACCCCCTACCCGGAAATGCAGAATCACTTATATATATATATGTGATCCTGTGCACAAGGGCCGTCCTGTAGCAGTAAATCTACTATAGGGCGACCCTTAATCGATTAAACAACACTTTGAGGTCACAAAGATCTTATTGAACCTGTTTAGGGGATGGTAAATGTATAGAAAAATCATGCTGCGTATGTGGTTGTAGTACTACTAGTGATCAAAGTACCCCAGGATTATTTTTCTGTATGTTTTATGAGATGGTTTTTATACAGTTTTTACTGAGTTGTAAAAACTAAAAATGGTTTATTTTTGTACATTTGGGTATATCACATTTATTTTTATTTTTATTTATTTTTTTAATTTTTATTTAATTGTACTATTGCTACACACACATGGCCCCTCCCCGTCCTCCCTTGTTATCTATCTTCTCATCAGCTGCATTTAGTAAAGTGAGAGAGAATGGGAGCTGGTTCACACCTTAATTTTTTTCGTTCCGGATGCGTTTCGGAATGCATGTTTATGGTGCATTTTTTTGTTTTTGATGCGGACACAAATGATGGCAAAGGCCCAACCTACATGGGTGACTGCTGAGAGTCATGAAAAAGATATCTGAAATGTAATACCGGTGAAGACGATTCGCAACTTTACTGTTTTATCTGACTTTATTAATCCTGCTCTTCTGTTGACATTTTTAAATTTAGAAATTACTCCGGATCTCCAGCCCAGAGCCCGGCGATTATTGCTATTACTGAATCCTTGTGGTGGACGCGGCAATGCCCTACAGCAGTGTCACGCACACATTTTGCCCATAATTACTGAAGCAGATATCAGCTACAATCTCGTACAAACAGGTGAGATTTATGCATTGCAAATTGTGTGTTCTTCCTCAGCAATTATTGTTTGTGGTACTTGACTAACCCTTCTGTGTTGTTGCTTCCAGAGAGGCAAAACCATGCTCGAGAACTGGTACAGGCTATCAATTTGGAAGAATGGGATGGTATTGTTGTTATTTCTGGAGATGGACTTCTCTTTGAGGTAATAGCCAAATTTACATTTAAACATTAGTCTGAGGAAAGTTCCTTTGAAACTTTACAGTATTTGTCTGCACCTTATTTAAGTGGTGTTCAGCTCCATCTGCATTGCAGCTGCGGCCTGGTTGTTTGCCATTTTAAAGCTGAGATGCCCTCAGAAGCCAATGTTATACCGAAGCAACATTTTTTTTTTTTGGTAGTTTTTCAAAATCCTAATATTCTGAAGCAAAAGCTACTAGCAGGCCCCGGGTTAACAGCAGCCAAATGTAGTAAGAAATATGTCCATAAAATGATCGTAAAAGTGGCCACAAAGTCTTTAGAGCATCTCCTCCACAGATAGAGGGATATCTGAAATACAGCAGAAGAATGCTTGAGGGCGCTTCTAAGTGCAGTGGAAACCACGTTATTAATAAGAGTCAATATTCACTCACATGAGTGTGAACAATAAGATGCATATCATGTAAATCAAAAGCCATCATCTGTGGTCCCAGGCAGTGCCCTATCCCATAGCATCAGAGTGCATCGAGCCAGCGCCCGTAGTGAAAAAAGCAGGCAGCCAAGGAGAGAGCAGGAGCCACATAAGCCAATCCATCCTCTGTGGCGCCAGCTCCTCTCCCAGGTGGAGTGATACCAAGTGCCAAGTGGGTTAACAACTATTGGGCTGCTTTCCCACTGATCTGCAAGTGCAGCACAGTGCACTTGCGGCTTTCCTGCAGGTCAGCTGCACTGAGCCATAGACTTCTATGATATTCTGCGGGTTTGTCGCACTTTCAAAATGTGCACCATAACTGCAAGATCTCATAGAACTCTATGGCAAAGCGCAGTTAACCCTCAGTCACAGGTGCACTGCACTGCACCTGTGGTGCGGGTAAACAGCAGCGCATCAGTGTGAAAGCAGCCTTATAAGGGGGCTCAGGACACTAAGGGCTTGTTTACATTTGCGGTTTGGGGCATGGTAAACCACCATAGTTGAAACATATTTTCACCACCCCCCTTTAATGGTAGATCAAATGATATTGTCAACCATTAGTATTATAAAAAATGTCTGAAGACGGCCTATTTATTTCCTTTGGCAGGCTCTTGCTTTACTATTGTTCTAATATTACCACTGCACAGAAAAGCTTCTTTCACGTTGAAGGCAGATTAGAGAGCTATTCCCACGCTGTACCAGAAGGGACAGGAAAGATCCTACATTACACATGCATATTTGTTGTTGTGTGGGAACAGCATGTGTAGAAGTTTGAATATTTTCTGTTTTATTTTATTATACTGTAGTTTACACAATGGAAGAAACAATTCCTAACATATTCCTTTTTATTATTTTTTTAATTTTTGTTTTGAAATTTATTTTTTTTTTGTTAGGACAGGAGAACTTTTGGTTATAAATTTTTTTTATATTGCAATGTTTTTTCTTGATTAAAATACTGTGAACAGTCATTGATGCACTTCTGAAATCCTAAATCCCTGGCTTTCATATAGATCGTCTTGCTTCAGTATGTTCACTCGCTGACTCAGACCAAGTGACCAGGTCAGAACACCTGATTTCACAGGCTGTGTGCTCGCTCTAGGATAGTGACCTAGACACTAACAATTATCTAAACATTTTAGAAGTTGGTGACCATTGGTAGTTGCTGACCTCTAATGAGAAATAGCATGAATGTCATAGCATAATCGTTCCAAGTTTATACTTTGTTTCTCCAACGCGTTTTAACAGGACGCAGCCCGCTTCTGCAGGGAGACAAAGTATATAGTTCCATTAATAACATCAATGGCTCCGTAGGAGGCCAGTGGGAAACATGAGCATTGGATCCAGCCAGCAGTGCGAAAGGTCCCCTCAATCAACAATGTAGATGTCCGCCAATTGGACAGAATTACAAATCCACCGTGGGAAGCACATCAGACAAGGTACTTATATGGTCCAAAAAGGCCCCAAGCAGCTCATGGCTATATTCCTCGAGAGGACTGGGAGGACTGCTATTACTGGACAAAGGATTGGTTTCTTTTTATTTTTTTTTTTTTATTTGATGCCAGAACGACTCTTATCTGCTTGGGACTTTTTGGACCATACAAGTACCTTGTATGATGCGCTTCCCACTGTGGATTTGTTATTCTGTCTATTTGGTGGGACTTGTAGTTCCCAAACAACAGAACACGTAGAGGTTGTGCACTCTTGTCATATATGCAATAAAACTCTCCAGTCTCGCAGCCTGCCCCAACACCACAATGAAAGAGACATCGTACAGGTACTGATGGTGAGATGTACTACAGAAAATCTAAAATTGTACCTACAAGAGACCAGTGCAGCCACCAACAATGTTCCTGATCGCTAGTCACTCCAGTCCCAGTGTCACCAGAACCAGTGCATGCGTCAACAGTGTCCCTGATTGCCACCACATTAGTAGTGTCATCAAGGCCAATGTAGCCCACAACAGTGCTCCCGATCTCTTCCACACCAGTGCAGTGTTGCCTCTGCCTGCCGCTTGTACTGACCTTGGCCTGTTTATTGACCACATTTCTGACTGCTGCCTGAACTGACCCATCTGCATGTCCCACTGTCTACATTTCGACCAGCCCCAGCCATCCCCTGTGGACAACTGGACTCCTGGAACCACAGGATATCTTTTATTTAGCCTCCTGTACTTTTTGGCCAGTGAACATGGCATTCTGGGGGGAAGCCACATACCAGTAGGCTGGTCTTGTTTGGCTTATAAGTATGGGACAGCTATAGGTGATGCTACATTAAGTTATATTTCCTGACAACTTGTACAGAGACGACCATTACAATACACACTGGTTTTGGTACAATTAATTGATTTTTGTGACACAAGGTACAATGTCTAGTAAATAATCAGTCCAAACATTGAAAAAGTCTCTCAATACTCTGGAGGAGTCGCACAATCTGTTTTGAGGTGAAGTTCTAAGTATGCCCACAATGTGTGAAAAATATCTTATTAAATTGACAACTTAAAAAAAAAAAAAAAAAAAAAAATCTTTTTCATTTTCTTTTCACATTTTCTAAAAACGTAAGGCAAAATAATTAAGCCTTCAAAAGACTCACCATGCTTCATAAAAAAATCCTTGGGATGTTTACTCTCTGAAATGTGGTTATTTTGTGGGTGTTTTTTCACTGTCCCGGTGCTCTAAGGACTCTAAATGTGAAAGGTAGCCAGCAAATTAGATGGCTTATTCGTGCACCTAGAACTCATGAAGAGACACTTCTTGGATTTTGGGCCTATGTGGCTACGCTGTGAAAGTGTCTCACACAAGGTATCGCCATACTTCATTCATTTTCATTCTGCATGCCAAAAGACTCACCATACCTGTGGTGGTTTTTTTTTTTTCCAAAATGTCATTTCATCGGTGTTTCCACTGTTCTGGTGCTCCAGGGCCTCCAAAAATGTGATAGCTAGTCAGGAAACTAGATGTGTTTTATGCTTCTAGACTATATAATAAAAACCCCACGCTCTATTCAAAAATATATGTAAAAAAAGAAATAAACATAAATAATCAGCAGCTATCACTACAAAATGTGTACTCCTCACACTATAACAGAAAAAAATATTACAAACAGTGAAGCACTGATAGCGCTTCACTGTTTGTAATATTTTAAAATATTTTTTATGTTTGTAGATTGCCTGAAGGTGCTCCTAAGATTTTGGGACTCTATACCGTTCAGAAAATATTTTTGAGTGTCTGCTTTCCCAAATGGTATCCTTTTGTGGGTGTTACTGTTGTACTGGTACTTCAGGGGTGTGGGAATTTATGATAGGTAGGAAATTATATCAGTATTTTTCCTTTTTTATGTAGCAAAACATTTAAACAATGGTGATTCAATTTCACCAAAAGAAAACTGTATCTGTCTCAAAAAATTATAAAAATTTCAGTTGGCAACAGTGTTGCATGAGTAATTGTCATTCAAAAATGTGACCGTGCTTAAAACTGAAAAATGGCAAGGGAGTGAAACAGTCTGGTCTTCAAGTGGTTAGGTAGTGGATGTGTGTGGATTGTTTTTTGGGGAAAAAATATTTAGTGTCACATTAAAGCACTGATCTCTTCATAAAACTTCAGTATTTACTAAATTCCCCCTCTTGTAGCATGTGGGCATCAAAAGTCATCACCCATTAACTTGAGTGTAAATCATTTCTGTATGTTGTTGGTTTTTTTTTTTTTTTTTTTTTTTAGAACTGTAAATATTGCTCTGGTTCCTTTTGTGTGTGTGTGTATAATTTTCTGAAACTGTATGTCATGGTAGATTAGTCAGGTTAATTATTCTATAAAACTAGTAAGATGGCCTACTGGTTGGGAGGTTGGAAACCTTTTGTTCTATATGACTTTTTTTTTTTTTTTTTTTTTTTTTTTTAGAGTACTAATATACCACTGTACTTTGAGTACAAAGACCAATAATGTGTTTGTAACCCATAACCACCAATCTAGAATTGTATCTTCTAGAAAGTTTGATGATATATAGCTGAGCACTGATTATCTGCTATGGATTAGTGCACTCCATGCTTTTTCAATGCCTAGTTAAGTTTTAGATTTTATAGCGTTTGAAATCCAACAAACTATCATAGTATAGAGTACTAGATTCCAGCTAGTGTACTCGAGCTGTCCTATTTTCCTCACTAATGTAATTGTATATTCTGCTCAGGTTATTAATGGTTTGATGGAACGCCCTGATTGGGAAGATGCAATAAAGATGCCTATTGGGATTCTGCCTTGTGGCTCAGGAAATGCCTTGGCTGGAGCTATTAACTACAATGCAGGGTAAGCAAATCTCTTGCAGCAGAGATATTGAGCTGGTTCACACAGGAGTCAAATTTCTGAGCTGAGTAATGGAATATGCACTAAGAAGGAATTTTAAATCGGGGTTTGTGTTGGAGAGCATATCCTGTGTATAAAGACACCTTTCACAGAGTGAGTGTGGACTTTTATTTTTTTATTTGTAGGGAATATATATATATATATATATATATATATATATATATATTTTTTGGAGGTGAGCGCAATATATATTAATATTCATCAATGTTTTTCCCCATTTGCTGACACAAGTTTTTGGATTTATCAAGAGGACTGTTCATTTAACACAGAAATTGTTTGCATCAAGGCATATTATATTGTTTTTTGTTATTTCAATATGTTTTTGAGTATATAGTTTGATTATGAACTGATAATCACTGTTGCAAGTTTTTTTATATAATTAATTTAGCATGGGAGCACAGCACTAAATATTATTCATTTAATAGAATTTTTATTTTATTTATATATATATCAAATCTCTGTTTATACTGTTTGGGACTATTCACATGAGAGTATAACTTGCTTCCTTGGGACCTGCAAACAAGGCAAAATAATGCTTTCGGCTCATACATTGGCTCCAAGTGCACCTAAGCACCTATATGTGGTTTAAAGCACTTACCCTATTCAGGACCTCTCTCATTCCCTGAGGTTCTATACTAAGGAACAGTTGGCTTGGATGTGCACACGAACCATACCCTTACATGCACTTTAACTTTTAGGATGTACATCTCTGCTTTATTCAAGCACAAGCAATTAAATTACCCCAACGACACACATCATTACCCCAGAATTTGCAATTTATCTTAAAGGTACAGTGCATGTTTAAAGTATTCAGACCCCCTTTACTTTTTTCAATTTTGTTACGTTGCAGCCTGATACTACAGTTGATTACGTTCATTTTTCGCCTTCAATTTACTACAAAGTGAAAACAAAACTTTAGAAATATCTGTGAATTTATTTGAAGAAAAAAATGAAATCTCACATGTACTTAAGTATTCATTCCCTTTATTCAGTACTTTGTAATTGCTGCCAAAGATGCTTCAACAAAGTGACAAGCTTTGCACACCTGGATTGGTGGATTTCCTACCATTCTTCTTTGCAAATACTCTTAAGATCAGTTAGGTTGGATGTAGTCTGTCGGTGGACAGCCATTTTCAGGTCTCCAAGTCAGGACTCTGGCTGGGCCACTCTAGGACATTCACAGAGTTGTCCCTAAGCCACTCCTGTGTTGTCTTGGCTTTGTGCATAGGATCGTTGTCACTTTGGAAAATGAACCTTCGGCCCAGTCTGAGGTCCCGAGTGCTGTGGAACAGGTTTTCATAGAGGATATCTCTATACATTGCTACATTCATCTTTCCCTCAGCCCTGACCAGTCTCCCATTTTTTGCTGCTGAAAAACACCCCCTACACCATGATGCTGCCACCACCATGCTTTACTATTGGAATGGTATTGGTCAGGTAATGAGCGGTGCCTGATTTCCTCCAGACAAAAAGTTTAGAATTTAGGTCAAATAGTTCAGTTGTGATTTCATCAGACAAGAGAATCTCGTTCCTCAGTCTGCGAGACCTTCAGATGCTTTTTTGCAAAGTCCAAGTGGGCTATCATGAGGAGAGGATTCCATCTAGCTACGCCGCCATAAAGCCTAGATCGTTGGAGGGCTGCAGTGATGGTTGTCCTTTTATGGAGCTTTGTCCCATCTCCACACAGGATCTCTGGAGCTCCGTCAAAAACAATCAAGTTCTTGATCACCTCTCTAAAGCCCTTTTCCCCTGATTACTTGGTTTGGCCGGGCAACCAGCTCTTAGAAAAGTCCTCATGGCTTTTGCTCTGAAACAATATACCTTGTCAGCTGTTATAGAGAGGTGTGTGTCTTTCCATGTCCAGTCAATTTAATTTACCACAGGTGGACTTCATTCCAGGTGTAGAAACCTCTTGGCAACGATTGAGAGAAATGGGAGGCACCTGAGCTGTATTTCCAGTGTTGCTGCAAAGGGTCTGAATACTTTTGCCAATGGGATATTTCTGTTTTTCTTTAATAAATTCACAGACATTTCTATAATTCTGTTTTCATTTTGTCATAATGGGATACTGAGTGTAGATTGATGAGGAAAAAAAATAATTTAAAGTGTAAGTAAATCCACATTACAAAAACTATCAAAATGCTGTATTACATGGTGTTCATACTCACTCAACCACTATGGGATTTGTTTTCTGTATTCTGCAAAAAAACCTGGTTGATCCTGCTGTTCTCTATCTTCCTCTTTTGATTATGTCCTTCGTGCCGTTTTGGGGATTTTGCAGAGTAATGGTGGCAGCTACTGCACATGCTTAGTTGTCAGTGAGTTTCTAAGCTGAGTATTTCCTTCCTGTTACATCTGAGCAGCCCCTGGGACTATAGAGTTACACATGTGAGTATATATCCCCTCCCATGTTATTGCCAAAAATATAAAAGATTTGATTTCAAATATATATTTATATGATGATTTAAAACCGTTTTATTGATATCAATTTATTTATTTTATTTTGAGGACTAGAAGCTCCTCCTTATGTTTCCTTGCAGACAGAGCTTGGTCATGTGACAGCTCTATATCGATCAGTAAAATGGTACTATTTTTTAATTAAAATAATTATAGTGCCATCATCCATATACAGAAAGAAAAGGGACAATGAAAATAAACTGTGTGTCTTTTAGTATCACTTTAACCGTTTCCCGTCCGCCCCTATAGCAGATATACTGCTACAGGGCGGCACAAGTGCACAAAATCACGTGTGTATATATACGTGATTTTGCATTTCTGGGTAGGGGGCGTGCGCATGCCCTACCCACGCCGCCATTCGTGGCCGTGGCTGTCAGTCACCGGGTCCTGGACGGTGATTAATCGCCGGCGCCCAGTGATTGCCGAGCATCTCCAACAGGGGGAGAACTGTTAGTAAACAGAATTTTCCTCTCTGTCAACTCGTGCACACTGCTTTGCATGGGTGTGCATACAGAGAAGCACCCAGCACACAGTTAACCCTTTGATCGCCCCATATGTTAACCCCTTACTGGCTAGTGCCATTAGTACAGTGTCAGTGCTTTTATTAGCAGTGATCACTGTATTGGTGTCACTGGGGATGTCAGTGACACAGTCAGTTCCCCCAGTGTCAGAATGCCCGCCGCAGTCCCGCTATAAGACACTGATTGCCGCCATTACTAATACAAATTTAAAAAAAAAAATCCCAGTATATATGTTGCCATTTGTAATTGCTATAACTTTCATGTAAAACAATTAATTTACACATATTTGGGATTTTTTTTTGTTTTTTAGCAAAGACATGTAGCAGTATACATTTTAGCCTCAATTTATGACGAAAGTTTATTTTTTTTTTTATTTTTTTACCGTACATGTTTAATAGCAAAAAGTCAAAAATATTTTTTTTTCTCAAAATTGTCGGCCTTTTTTTGTTTTATAGCACAAAAAAATAAAACCCTGCACAGGCAATCAAATACCACCAAAAGAAAGTTCAATTTGTGGGAAAAAAGACATAAATTTCATTTGGGTGCAGTCAGTTAAAGTAACGCAGCGCTGTAATGCAAAAATTAGCCTGGTCACTAAGGGGGGGGGGGGTGTAAATCCTCTGGAGGGCAAGTTGTTAAACAACTGTAGAATCAGGTTGCAACATAAAATTGAAAAAAGTAAAGAAGGGGTCTGAATAGTTTTTGCATACACTGTATTTTTTTTGTCTCTTGACTGGGTGCACCTGACACAAACAACTTGTGGACTCTCTTATCAACAGCACTGACACCTACCCTATGCCCTATGGCTCTACACCTGTTCTGATTCATGCCCTTAGCTTGCTTATTTGACTCTGGTTATGCCTTAGTTGCTTCTAATATTAGTTATTCGCTGTGATTATATACTGGCAAGCATTATCATCACTTGGGGGTGGCTATCCAAGATTACCTCCTCCCTTTATCCTTTGCTTTCAGGCGCTTGTAGGCCACATGTCAACATTAAATGTTGGCTTTATGCTAACCTGAAACCTCTCCATGTTATGTTTTGGGAGCCCTACAATCACCTGCACACTTTGTTTTGTTGACCTCTGGCAATGTGTACCAAATCTACACCTTGGCTTTTCACTGGCGGCACCAAGGTACTTGGCTCAAACCAGCTTGTTAGTGATAGAACTCTGGCTTCTTACCTAATAATTCTCTGCTGACCCCACCTACCTCTTTGCCCAAGACTTGTGGCATCCACTTATTAGATAGTAACACTTTGACGTATGGCAGATATGGCACTTCCCCCTCGCTCCACTTCTTTCATGATTTAATGAGGGGACTAATTTATTTTCTGTTAGTGAGTGGCAATAGGTAGTGTCATAGGCCTGAGTGAAATGTGGTGTTTCCAATGACTGGCATGATTGAAATATTATCTGAATTGAAATGCGAACTATCACAGCTCTGTGCTTTCCTTTACCCCCCCCCCCCTAGAAAAAAAAAAATGAGAGTTGTTTTATTTGTTTTTTGCTTTTTTAAACCCTTCCAGTTACCAAAACATTCAGACCCTCATTCAGGATCTATAGACTATTTTCACTCCTAAATATAAACGTAAAAATCTTGGTGAAAGTTCTGACTTAGAGGGAAAAAAAACCCACTTCTGCCAACTCATGCATAAAGACCAAGTATTCGGGGACAATGTCTACTGTATGATACAACTCATCGGAGTCGCTTGCTCTAGAATCCCATGAAGCTATGTTGCTTTCCTTCAACATATGCAAAACCTTTGACACACTATCTTGGCAGTATTTGCTTTTTGCCCTTCACCACTGGGGCTTTGTGGACATCTTTTGCCCTGCTCACAGTTCTCTATGGCCTACTGCTTGCTGTGATAGAATATGCAGTGTTCAGTTCAGAATCCTTTCCCATACTTTGAGGAACCAGACAGGGATGCCTCTTATCCTTTATTTATGAGATATAGCACAA